ATATTATACATTACATATCTTATATTATTCAATATACAGTACGATATAGAAAAGAACTTACAATTAAAGTTTGATATGTGACATATATATCATATATTATTGTATAAAATATATATTATTATACATATAAAAGAACTTCCATTTAAAAGGTTCTTAAAGGCTGGGCTGTATCTGGTCAATGCTATGAGACAGCATAATGGAGTACCAACAGCATTTCTGGAAGTGCATTTCAAGCTCTTATGAGTCATGTTAATGCTCAGTAAATTTCACTGGCCAACACATATTTCTGTGCCTCAAATGTTAGACTTGTTTCTGGATATAATTGAATCTTTTGATTCTGAAAATGGCACCAGTTTTCCCTATAAGTTGTAGATTCTAAGATACAAAATATATGCTATATACTACTCTTCACTCTGCTGGTCCATAAAAAAAATCAAGATGCTTTTTGATATAGTGTTAGGAACCCTGAGATAAAGTGTAAGCTGACTTCATTTAAAATAGGTCGTTATTCCTCACATGGTATCCTTTGATCCAAAGATAGATTTGAACAGTGCAAATTACATGAATGTGGAATTTTCAAGTATAATTTCCCCCTTTTAGGAACTAGACAGCATACTGTTCAAATTTGTTATCTTAAAAAGAGGCCAGAAATAAGTTACTGTACAATAAATAAGGATCCTTGATGGCATATAGGGCATTATGAATTTGACTGCTAACTGCTCCCTACAAGCTTAGCTTACCAACAATCTGCAAGAGAAAGATGGCTTTCTGCTCCCATAAAGATGTACATCCTCACGAACCCACAGGAGAAGTTCCACTCTGTCCTCTACAGTCAGTATGGCTCATAATCGACTGACTGCTAGTGAGTTAGGTACAATAAATAGAAATTCAAATGTTCCCTAACCTAAATCGGGCCTGTCAGGGTTCAAACTCCTTTACTGGAATAAACTGTTCAAGACTTGTTATAAGATGGCATAAATTCTCCACCTTTATGCATAAGCTCTTAAAAGAAAAATTAGAATTTTCTTACAAAGTGCTTAGAATCAACTTGACCTTTGAAACATTGACCATGAAGCATCCATTATCTTGTATATGTTAAAATGTTTTGAAGTGTTCACTACATAATTTGAAGAAAAACTTGGATTTCTCAATAATTTATAAAAATTGCAATAAAGTATTACATTTTCGACCCTGTAAACTGCCCTCACACCTTCCATATATGTGTGCCTTTTCCATTTTTGAAAACATTTCACTCGCCTTAATTTGCATTCTGGCTTTTAAGTAACCAATATGTAGTCTCTGCATACATTGCACAGTCTCACATACCGAAAAGAAAATCTCACTGCCCTCTAATTGACTCTCAGTCATAGTGGTCCCATAGGGCAGAGAAGAACGGCCTTTCTGGATTTTCAAGTGTTTACATCTTTCAGAGACTGCAGAATGACTGACCTTCTGATGGGCAGCTCCATGTGTAACCAACTAGCCACCAACAGTCCCTATTCCCTCCCCTGGAAGTGCCTTAATACCCAGTTCTTTTTCAAATAGTTCTTACATTATTTTCTTAACTTCTAATGTGTGAGTCTGAATTCTTCTCATATACAACTAGGATGATAAATTAATAAATTATTATAACAACATTTGAAAATGCAGTAGAGCATCATATCTTAGAAACTAGAGCTGATGTGGACTACCCAGTGCAATTTTCTGAATCAGTACCCCAAGTAACCCCTCAGGAACAAACCTAAGAACCAGGGCACCACCAATTTCCCCCCCCTTTTGGCTATGTTTTAAATTAGAGATGACTTTCTTAGGTTGTGAAGAAAACGGCCCATAAGCCACAGCTGACCTCTGGCTTCAGTCAGGGTAAGGAGAATTCAATTCTGGGCTAGCTCAAGGACAAGACAGAAGTCCTACATACCTCCATTCTTCATCTTTCTTTCTGTTCTGAGCCCAACCGTGCCCCCCAAGGCACTCTACTTCTCTGCTGCATTCAATAATTCATCGCAAGGGCCACCCAGTACTTACAGACAACACTCACCATTCAATGTGTTATGGAGGTTAACAACTTACCACAAGTCAGGACCAGTTAACAGAGGATATAGTGATTAGTCCACAGCAGTGCCTAGATTCAGCCAACTGCCAAGTCTCTCTTTCGGGTTCTTGAACTCTCACGCACATCCGCTCATTGGCCTCACCTCAGTGTGTGTGCTGGGAAGCCCACCCCGTCCTAGGTCTCACGCACAAACAGTCTTAGTGCTTCATCATCTAAGCTCTATCTCATGGTCTTGCTTCAGGGTCTGGTCTCATCATACCACAGTTTCTGTTGCCTCTTCCACTGCAGGCTAGAATTTTGAACATGAGCCATGGGTGGCTCTTCCTCTTTGATGGCCTAGGAATTCTCTCCCTATGCTTCTGATATGTCTCATTATAGCCAGGGTAATGTCAAAACTGACCAATTAGTGTTTCATACACCCCATTTGCATAGCCCCACCAATCAGTGGACAGAAGAACTACAATAAGAAACTTCACTTCACCACAGGTGTTCAAAAATGCTTATTTTTGTCTAATTACCTATAAAAGTTAATAGAAAGTTGTGTAGTACTATTTTGTTTGGTTTTCCTTCAAAACAGCTCCAATGAGGTGTAGAAGGGACCAGGTACCAGACATCAAAGAACAAAAAATCATATCAGTGGGTGCCCACCTTCCAGATATGATCACTGAAGACAAATGTGTGCATAAGCAAATGCAGTGAAGAAAGTTGCTGGTGCCCGGCTATCAAATGATACAGCGTCTGGGGTCTTAAAGGCTTGAAGATAAACAAGCGCCCATCTAGCTGAGAAGCAACAAAGCCCACATGGAAGAAGCACACCAGCTTGTGTAACCACGAGGTGTCGAAGGGATCAGGTATCAGATATCAAAGAACAAAAACTCATATCATTGTAAATGAGGGGGAGTGCAGAGTGGAGACCCAAAGCCCATCTGTAGGCAACTGTACACACCCTTACTGAAGGGTTGTGGGGAGGAGATGAGCCAGTCAGGGTGCAGGGTAGCAACAATGAAACATACAACTTTCCTCTAGTTCTTAAATGCTTCCTCCTCCAACTATCATGATCTCAATTCTACCTTGCAAATCTGGCTAGACCAGAGGATGTACACTGGTACAGATAGGAACTGGAAACACAGGGAATCCAGGACAGATGATCCCTTCAGGACCAGTGGTGAGAGTGGCGGTAATCAAAAACTGTTGTACCACAGACCACATCCAGTACAAAGTGTCTGATTTTGGTGCTCATTCCAGAACTACACTTTGTCCACTTTAGAAAACACTGTTTTGTTTTCTGCTTAATTTTGTTTTGTTTTGTTTTGCCACAAGCATAGGTTCCTTACACATTTTTAGCAGTAGTTCTTTGAGGTCAGGGTTTTAGATAGAGTCCCTCAGAAAGGATGTGTGCTTGCTTCTGTCCAGTGCTTTCTCAGCTGTGCCATTTGGATCAGGGGCCACTTTGTAAGCTCTGCACAGAGTGGGATTTCAGGCTCCACCATCCTTGTGAAGGCTGCATGGAAAAACAGAATTACAATCCAGTTCTTTACGTGGTTTCTACTGCATTTCACTTGGTTGTTGTAGAAACAGGAGCTGAAATAAAGCACTGCTTGCGTCATTGCCCTCAACCTTGTCGGTATTGTTTCAAGATTAACAGAAGTCTGGTGTGTGTGTGTGCGCGGTGTTTTCATTCGCATCACACCATGTCTGATTCACAGGATTGGAAGTTGGGCGGCATCTGCCCGGGCTCTCTTCATCGAGTACAACAAGGACCGACAGGGATGATTTTAGGCGAGCTGCCAATTTAAAGTTGCAACTAAGATGCGAAGATTAAGGTTTTTGTCCCAATGTTGCCCTGCAGTTCCATTTTGATTTTTAATGGGCACATTTGATCACTCTCTCTTGCCTTAGAGATTTCCATCTTTCTAACAACCTTTAGCAAACATTACAAGGGATACTGAAGTTATTTTCGCAAAAACATTGCTGTTTATAGAATTGCAAGCTTGGCTAGAATGTCACTTTTTACCTAAATAATTAAGAACACTGACATGGACTTACTTTTCGTACCTGCTCTTCAGTTCAGATTGCAATTACACTCAATAAAACACATATGTTTACTTAGCAATGCATAGGATTGGCAAAGACATCTTCATATGTAACTTTTAAAAGCTTTATGCAAAAAATGAAATGTGATGAAAAACATATAAAAAAAGGTAATCTGAGATGGAAACTGTATGATAGATTGAGCACTCGACTAAATGCTTATGAGATAATTACTTATGAGATAATTTCAGAATGAGCATTTCTCCTGTCTTGAATGGAACTGTAGCATCAGCTAATCATTCATTGTAACTGTCTTGGGAAGTGATATTTGCCAGACTGTAAAGTAGCTAGTAGACTCTGGCTGAGATTTGACTATTATAATATAGGGGTTACAAAATGACAATACTGTATAGTTAAGGGAAAATTAATTCTGGATTTTCTTTCGTTTCTTTATTTCTTAGTTCAGGGAGGCTATTCTTTTTTTCTTCAATTTCAAGTGACTTTGTGATTTGTACTTTGTGTACTTAAACTAAAAACTTAAACCCGAGCCACTTTATAAAGCAAAACAAAAACCAGAAAAATAAAATCAAACACACAAACAAAAATGTCCATTATAATAACTAGCTGGGTTCTAAATTAAAGTAGCTTGGCAAAACTCTTTTGAGTAATAGTCTTATTGTAGCAGTTATTGGAGAATAATGTAGATGAATATACCAGATCACATAATACACCACCATTTGGCATCTGATAAATTTCTCAGTCTTAGTTTATGATGTACTTACATTATGGAATACCTCTTAAATAAAGAGCCAAGTCAAAAAGCACAGCAGAAACTAACATCATAAGTTTAATGTATCTTAAAATAAAGAAATATATTTAAACAACACATTTAAAGAATAATATAATAAACGTTTCTTATTCTTACAATGGTACACCATTATTTCAAAAATATATTAATTAATGCACCCCCAATATAGCTATCTTCAAATTTTCTTTAAGATAAATTGTATTTTAAAACATTCCAACATACCTGAATTAAAAACAAACCCATATTGTTTTTTAAATCTATTTCTGATATAAGAAAGCTTTACAGAATATTAAGGAATATTTAGTAAATGGTCCTTTAGGAATAATTTTAGATGCACTGTAAATAGCCCTAATTATGGGAGCCACCCAAAATAGCAAGTTAACAATAAGACAGGTCACACAAACTTCTATAGAGAAGTCTTTGAAGGCATTTTAACAGAGGACAATAAATTCATGTCAGAGGGAAGAACACACATGTACACACACACATGCACAACAGGAACTTCCCATTTAGAATTATTTGTACTTGGAGGAAGCTTTACAAAATCTGCTTATCAAATAACATTTTTGTTGAGCTCATTTTCAAAGATATGAGAAATGGACTTCAGCTGTTCTTTCAAAACGGTAATGCCTTCAAATCCATCCTAAGATATTTGGTAATTTTCCCCAATCTAGTTTCTTTGCTTTTACCTCAAATAAAATCCCTTGCATTGCATCAATCAGGTTACAACTTTATTTATAAATTATATACAATTTGGGTATAAGCAACGCAAGAAGCTGGCTCAGTTGACATTTTCTGCTCTGCTACGTCTTACTCACGGTGACTCTTTTCTGTAGAGAGCAGCCCATGTCAATGTCTCTTTATTTTGGACAAAGTTATTAAATCTGGAGAGAGAGAAATCTGCAACAGTAGTATTGCAGATGCTAGGCAGACATGATCTATTTGAGGTAAGAAGGTTGTACTACAGTTTTTGGTGCTAACTTGGAGGGTTATGGTCCTAGCCTCTAGCTTGTCTCCACACGATACCTAAAGCTTTGAGCTCATGGCAAAATCTACAGTCCTCGAGCCAAGAAGGAGCAAGCTGCTGCAGTTACACCAATTCTGAGAAAGCAAACACTTATAACAATTATGTGCAATCTTTCCGTTTCTATGTTCTGCCTGCCATTTATTTATTCAAATCCAGTTCAACATTTCAGTTTATTTAAAGAAACAAAAAGGCTAAAAGAAAAATTATATTCATCCAAGCAGTTTTGTTTGGGTTATTTTTTTAAGTTTTATTTCTAAAAAAATATCCTATTATAGCTTTCATTGGCACAACATAGCCCAACTATTAAACTTCCTCAAACAAGATTAAACAGTCAAAGGCATTCCGTCTGATTTCATAAAACTACATACAAATTATATCAGGAAAAAAATGTTGACATGGAATTGAATGGGACTCAATGTGTCTCACTGCAAGGGAGGCTGGGTAATCTATTATGGGCAAACGTTTGTACCTTGTAAGATAGATTTCATTGATAATGCAACCACAAAGCAGCCTATAGATCTTTAAATAAATAAAAATGACTACACACATGATATTGTACATAGAAAGATGAAATGAGTCAAAATAATTTTAGTAAATGTCCCTTTTTCTGAAAGTATGTTTTTTTATTGCAGACATAAATTTTAATACAGTTCTTTTGCTATTACCGTTATTATTTAATCTTAATGGCAGCCACATGAACGTACAACCATGTTTCTGTATTTTTTCAAAATGACATTCGAGCTGTCATCAAAGTATAACACGGAGATGGCATTTAATTTGGTTGGGGCGCAGCAAGGCTTTGGTACATGGTCGGGGAACATCAGATGAACCTACAAAAGAGAAATACATGCGTGTGAGTTTTTATTTTAAACAACAAATAAAATGACTATTATTTTATCAAGCATAATCAGACACACTTCTGCTGACCACCACGTATGCTTTATAAGAGCAGAGGGGAGGGCTGGTAGGAAAGGGTGTATTTGTAAATATCAATGCCTAGGTTTACCCATCACTGGAATGACATGTTCGGGACTTGAAAGTGGAGACAAGTGCCACCTGGGAAGAAAACTCTCCTATGAAATATTCACTGGAAATTTTCCTGGAGGCAAGATCAGGGGAACTAGAACTGAGAATGCTTTTGGATGAAATCACTATTTCTCTATCTACTGTGAAAAATATAGAATGTAGAAGTGCAAATTGGCAAAGACATACAATGGGATTGTAGGAATATTTGGATATATGAATTATTTCTTGAAATGACATCCAGTAATAAATGATAAAAGTTATACCAACTGTTCATTTTCCATGGCAGAGGGACCACCATAAAAATCAGCAAAATATGCTTCAGGTATCATCCAATATCTGCTCTAAATCAATAATTTCAACTTTTCTCCACTGATTTTTCTTCCCAGCCACCTTGACTAATGATCAATATCCTTTTACTTTAGTTCCTACTGCTTGGACAAGTACCAAAATTCAAGGGCCGTGAGTAGTTCCGCAGTGAATATTCATCTTCCCTAAAGAGTCCAGAAAGGTGGCTGCATATGAAAGTAGAACTACGTTTGTCCAGGTTTCTACTCCTTTTGATCAGACTGGCAGTCTGCCTATGATCTGCACTAATTGAGCAAGAGTCAGAACACAACGCCCTTTCCTCCTTCCCAACCATCCCCTCTGGCCTTCCCCCAGAGGAGCATACGGGAAGTCCCACCAATGAGTCTTACGGGACCTACAAAAATCCAACACAGCCTCTTAGAGTTTTGGCTGCACAATGTTCTGGCTGAAACGACAGAGGAGCCCTGCATGTGGACAGAAACAGCAGGAAAAATGAGGTGACCTGACAGAAACTTGAAATGTCCTAAGACCTCACAAAACTAAAACTTGGATAGTGTCTACAAATTATAAGTGCAGCTTACGTCCCTCGTCAGCTTTATCTTCCATAACGCACACATATATGATTGATAACCCCTGTTACGATGGCCTTGGCAGGCTCATGGCGCAGACAGTCTGAAAAAATGAATAGCTCTTGACTGGTTTCTCCTACAGATTAGTCACAAACATGCTCTCTCAACAACAGGCATGCCTGTCTTCCCGTTTCATTTGTTCCCCTACGCAGAACAAATGTGAACAATGCCAGGAAAAAAGTTCCCATGTCCATTTGAGTTCTGCACTGACTTACATCCTACATCCCCGGACAGCGATGCAGAGCAAGGGCTTGTTCCAAGTTCATGTCACACTTCGTCATGTTTGCTTCTTTGCACTGCCTTTAAGACTACAGTCCTAAGAGCTGATAATATGCATTTACACACACACAATATATATTTTTTATTTTTCTCCTTTCATATATATCCATATGAATATGAATATATATGAATATGTATATATGGAAGGAGAAATATAAAAAATATGAGCAAGAGGAAGTGTGTGACAAAAAGCGTTTTGCAATAATTAAGTCTCAATTCTAAGCCAATGAGCCCCCTCTCTTCCTTCCTAAGCACATATGAGTAATGCTCTCCTGGTAACACAAACACTAGTGTGGATTATATTGCGCAGTCTACTCCTCCTTCTGGAAGACTCCCCTTTAATCTCCCAGGGTTTGCTCCAGTATCATATCAATAAATTGTGTGCAACGAGGTGCTTCAGAATCTTAGAAAGAGGTTCTATGAGTTCATTAGATAGAATAAAACCATTTAGAGACCACAAAGTTGACTACTCATCATTTTGTTCACAAAATTAAGAAAATAAGTCTAAGGTATTAGAGATTCAATCTCTGCTAACTTCCTGAGCATTGCAGGGGGGGAATAGATTTTCACACTAAATATTAACAAAAATTAATAACAAGAATAAGAATTTAGGCATAAAATATAGCCTTACGCTTATATTCTACATGAAAGAGCTGTCAAAATACCAAAATATATTATAGAACATTCTTAAGTAATTAGAGTAAAAGCCCTCACATGAAGTTCAGTATAACTATTATTCCACATTTACATAATGATTACTAATGAATTGTTGGGTCAGAAGCAGCCCCTGGAAATCTATGTTATTAGTCATATTGCACAGAGAAGAAATCAGTGCAGGGGATCACTTTGTGTGATTACTCCAAATTTCCTACCCCAATCCTTCTCCCACTCTGGATTCAAGGCTGTTACACCAATTCTGCAATTCCTTAGACTACCCACAATTTTCATTTTAGTTTGAGGAAGTAAAAACATTTGAGGAAAGAAGATAATATGTGGATGCTTTAAATGTATGTTTTCCTTGAAAAAAGCTTCATGCTGTGTTTGTATGAACTATTAAAATAAACCCTTTTCAACAGGACACAAACAAAGCATACCAGAGTCTGGACGATGGCATGGTTGGTGGCATTCATATGAGCATTGAGTGGAAACGAACATTCTCCATCACAATAAAATGCAGCATAGCCTTCCGGTGCTATGATCCAGTCCTAACGTGTACAGAAACAAACCAAAGCCAGACAACAGCAGAATAAGAATCAGGCACTTCTTATGAAATACTCAAATATATTTCTTCTGGATAGGCTTCCCTTTTTGACCCAACAAGTATTATTCCAGAGGGCAAGCTCTCTCTTTAATTTAAATTTTAATTTGAAGTTTACAATAGAAGTATAAATATTTATATAAGAAATTGTCCTCTGTACTTTATCCCAAGAGGATGTCATTTAAGATATTCATAGTATGCATTAATCAATGTATTCTTGAATAAAACCCTGATCATGGAATAGCAGTCAGATCATTCTTTAAACAGGAAATGATGAACTCTGGAAACTTCAAGTGAACCAGAAAGGAAAAGAAAAAAAAAACTTAATTGAGATAATTCTCACTACTTTTTACTAACTCATTTTTGGTTTTAGAACTCTGACAGCTTTCTCAGGCTTTAACAGTTGTTCTATGTGCTGCTTCTATTTCTATGCTTGCAATAATTTTTTAGTCCCTGTAGAAGAAATGAAACAAATTTCTGAAAAATGTACTCCAAACGTTTTAGGGAGCTAAAGAATTGGCAGAGAGAGCGATTGTCCTGGTTTTTTCATTTTGTTGTGCCAAAGAAGTGAATCAAGGAACAAAGTTTCAGTATTAGTAAACTATCCATATTAAAGATTTGTCACAACATTTGAAAATATTTATCTTTTCATATTACTTCTCAGTGAAATACACCATTTTATGAGAATGTTTACAATGTGATATATGAGCTAATCTAAGACTTCAAGTTAAACTCTCAGCCCATAAAGCTGTTAAAAACTATTTTGGTTACCCTCCTTATCACTTGTTTGTGAGTGCACTAAGCTCTGGAAGGGAAGGCCCTCTGCTTTCTTCTGCTGCAGCTCTGTCTGGCACACACAGAAAGAGGGAGCTGGTGACTGTGTCCTGGGCTCGGATAGCACAGGACTATAAGGAGGCAAAGGGAGCTGTTTGTGTTATTCTGAAGCACGCTTCTGCACGAATGCCAAATTTTAAATTAGGAATAACTGCACAACAGTACTTTTTTTCACTTCATAAATAACACGGGCCATATTTGTTCTTCGGCAAAAGCTGTATTTCATTTTTAAGCATAAAATTGTGTCGATAAATTATATGCTGAAAATTCATGTAAAAATAATTGGTTATTAGGAAAAATTACTGCAAACCATTATGAGTGACTGGCACTTAACCCTGGAGCACTGATGGTGTAGTGGTTGTGCATTGGGCTGCTAACTGCAAGGACATCAGTTCAAAGCCACCAGAACCACCTCAGGAGAGAGATAAGGCTTTCAACTCCCGTCATGAGCTACAGTCTCAGAAACTCACAGAGCCAGTTCTATCCTGTCCTGTGGAGCCAGTTTAAGCGCAGGTGGACTTGAAGGCAGCGTGTTTTTCAGAGCACTTAAGGAGAAAGCAGGAAAGCAGCACCTAAATGGACGGAATGTTCTTACCTGCCATCCCAGGTCCCGGAAACTCACATAGAGCTCATGCTTCTTACAGGCTTGTTTTTGTTCACTTGTATTATAATCTGAACATAAAAATCACATTTTAAACGAGGGGCAGTTCACCAGATATATTAATATTTATTTTGTAGGATTACAGATGAGACAGTATTTTGAAGCTGTAAAACATAAGTTTACGTTTTAAAGCTAGAGCCAATTACTGGCCATGTGATCTTCAGGCAAGTCAATGGCCCTAAAGGTCTTCTTCTGTAACATGTAGAAAATACAATTTACTTTGTCAGACTCTTGGCAAGTTCAAAGGAAGGAGCCCTGATGGAGCTGTGGAATAAGTGCTAGGCTGCTAACCACAAGGTTATTTCAAAACCTACCAGCTGCTCCGTGGGAGGAAAATGGACCCATCGGCTTCCCTAAAGATGCACAGTCTCTGAAACCCTATGGGGCTGCTATAAATTGCAACTTAAAAGATGACAGGGGGTTTGGTTTGCAGGTTTAAGGAGTATCCAGTTCCACCAGTACACAGCCTAGTGCTTTCCATGTACTAGCTGGTCGGTGAATGCCCCGTCATGATCTCATTCATCTATACACCCAATCCTTGGCTGTAGAAGCCATCATTATTCATGGGGACCTATCAGACAAAGAAGAACTGCCTGATGGGTATATTTTTAAGGCTGTAAATAATTATGAGAGCATTCTAGCACCTCTGTCTGCTTTGGAGTGGCTAGTAGGTTTGAACCTCTGATTTGGTTAGCAGCCAAAGGGCTAACCACTGTACCACCACATTTCCTCATTCATATTGTAGTGGCATCTACTATGTTCATGAAGATTAAATATTGATATAATATTTTGAACATCTTTCATAAAGAAGATCCTAAGAAAGTATAGTTTGGGGTATTATTGAGCTGATTTTATTGTGATCAATATCTTAAGTTCAGTATGTCCCAAATTGAGATTCTGATCATGTTTCAAAAATCTGTTCTACCACAGGCTCATTCATTGTTGACCGATGGCAATGGCCTCGACAAAAGAACCCTGGAACTAAAACATTGTTTTTTATTTCTTTCTCACCCTCACATCCCATCTCTAAGGCTGTTCTACAGCACCATCTTCAAACTGCCACTCTTCTCCCCTCCATCACTAGCATCCTACCTTCCTGATTGAAAGCATCATTCCCTCTCACCTGGATTATTGTAAATGTCACTTTGATGTTCTATTTCTGCCCCTGCACCTCTGCAACCCAGCATCCAAAAGGATCCTTTTGCAAAGTAAATTGCAGTTCACTTCCTTGCAAATAATTCTACAATGGCTTCCATATTACCAAGACTGGGCTGTTCTCCTCGGGTTACGAGGAAGGCCTTATGGAATTTGGGAACATAACCACTCTTACTTATCTCTTACCACTCTTCTCTCTTATGGATTAAACTGTGTTTTCCAAGAAGATGTATTGAAGTACTTACTGCCCATGATGCTTACGAATGTGCCCCAATTTGGCGATACACTTTTTCTTTGGCAATGTTAATGAGGCCCTAGCAGAGTCAGTTTAACCTAAAAGTAATCCCCTCTCAGTGAAGTAGTGTCTTATGAAACAGAAAACTGACATATCGAAGAAAGATGCCGTTGGACATATGTCTGCAAATCAATGTACATCTAGGGACTCGAGAAGTTGCCAGAAGATGAATCAGACAAGGAATGATCTCCGATGAGAGCAGGTAGAACACAGCCCTATGCATGCCGTGAATTCAGACTCTTAACTTGAAAATTGAGAAAATAAATTTCTGTTTTTCATGGCTAGGCATGCCCCATTGCTGCCATGACACTCCTCAAACACGGCAGGCTTACTCCCCCCTCAAGTGTTCACGCTCAGAAATGCTACTCTACTGGCTACTGACCTGGCTGATTCTTAAATCATCGATGGGTCTTAGCTCCAAAACCATCTTCTTGGGGAGGCCTTCACTGATTATGCTATTTAAGTTTCCAGTGCTAACATTCAATATTCCTGATTTCCCTCACTTTGCTCTGATTTTTCTATTTCCATTTCACTTATCAATTTTTCATATGCTTTAATTTACTCATGTATTTTGTACATTACTGAGGTAGTTTATTGTGCCAACCTGGCCAATAAACACATGTGGGGTTAATTGAAGGGCGGAGAGATAAATGGCTCAGTGAGCCTCGCCTTTCTAGCTCTGCTCTCTTGCTTTCTGATGGTTGTACCAGGGTGCTGCTGCCTTAGCCAGTTCCCTGCTTCAGTTTGCAAGGCTCACTACCTGCCAGACATCCCTGAGGATAAGCAGCATGGACCTACCCCGATGCAGCCCTGTGTGCTGGAGCAGCCGTGTGGAGACCCCTGCCAGCGCTGAGATGCTTACACATTCGCTGATTTGGCTTTCCTCCTGCAGTCAGCATCATTGCATGTGTTTTGTGAGATGGAGGAGGACTTTGTGGATTGGTTTTGGACATATGGGTTAATGGGTTAACGATAGACTTGTGGGTTTGGGAAGCATTGGGTTGGCATGTTTTCTTGATGTGCACTTAACCTTTATATAAAACTCTGTTTTATACATAAGTTTCTATGGATTTGTTTCTCTAAAGTACCCAGACTAACACAATTACTTAATGCCTGCTTCCTTTTACTAGAATGTGACCTTCACTAGAGCAAGGTTCTCTGCTTGGACCACTGATGCTTTCAAAGTTCCAGGTATGAAGCCTGCTATGCAAACATTAGACAAATGTTTGAAGATTTAATGACTAGATCCCAAAAATAATTTGAGGCAAGGAAATATAAAATTGTCATGACATATTTTATGGTATAATCTTAAAAATACATATATTTTTGTAATTTAAAAAGTGTAATTAGCCAAGGAAGGCCCTGGGCAACCCTGCCCCCACAGCAAGGAAGGGAGGTCCCAGGCATCCCTACATCCCAACAAGGTAGGCCCCAGCCATTCCAGAAACCCAGCAATGCAGGCCCTGGGTGCCCCCGAGCTGTAAAGATCATCAATGAGAAAACAGGGACAAACTTAAGAGCCCTATTGAAGAGTACATGCATACTATCAAATATAACTAAAGAAATACACCCAAAAGGTAAAATGGATGACTGGGACTTACTAGCAAAAGATGCTTATGCGCATCAAAAGACTTCATCAAAAGAGTATATAGACCATTGGCTAAATTAATGGTACTGTAAAGAGAATGGTACTGTAAAAAGTGTGGTGAAGAAATCAGATGGTACATGACTATCAGAAAGAATATCATCTTGAGCCTTAAGACCAGCAGCTAACTAAGTGAACTGTCATCTAAGTCCGCATGGAAGGAACATACTACCTTGTATGATCCAAGGATTGTAAATAATAAATTCCAAGATCAAATGAGGGAACTGTTTGGAGCTTAAAATCTGAACACCAGGTGTGCTGAAGGCAATGGGTGACCCTGAAAGCCCCAAATCTTTTTGCAGCATTCCCAAGCCAAATAAGCTTCCAGTGGACTCTTTCAACCATTGACTATTCATGTGAACAGCCTTGTCCTGAGACAAAGTGCATTGGAAAGTGGATTATGACAGATAGAGTTAGGTTAAATTTAACTTATTACTATTTGTTTTCCTTTCAACCCATTTTTAACTTTGTTTTAGTTTCCATTAAATTTTTATTTCTCTTGGATCAAGGTTTTTCTGTGTTTTATTTTGTTGTCATTTTTGCATGATTTTCTTTTTTTTTAAATCATTTTATTAGGGGCTCATACAACTCTTATCACAATACATACATACATCAATTGTGTAAAGTGCATTTGTACATTCATT